AAAAAAAAAAAAAAAAAAAAAAAAAAAAGAAGAGAAAGGAGAAGGTAGGGTGGGACGGTACCCTGGTCTCACTGAGGGGGAAGAAAGGCAAGTGCGGGAACCGAGGGAGGCTTCTGGGAGCAGGTGAGGCTCGCTCCTCAGCGTCTAACGATTACAGCGACGTGTCTGTCTCGCGTGGACCCCGTGACAGTCCTCTGAGAACTGTGAGTACGAGGACTCCTCTCAGGGCTCGAGTCCGGGAGCCCTTCGCCACTGTGCTCCCACGGCACGAAGACGACCTAACCTTCAGGGTATGAACTGGTCCAGAAGAGACTCGTGGACGGTGATAAGGCTGCTGGCCCGAGGGTGGCGAGGAACAGGGTATCCACGTGGCCTCAAGATGCCGCCCCAGAAGCTACGCTACATACAAAGGGGAAGGGGTGCAACTGCGCAGTGGAGGCCCTGCCCCTCGCCAAGGGCATGAAGTCGCGTTCTCAGACTCAGCCCCTCCCAGTCCCCACGTGGTCAAAACCAAGGAAGGCCACATACGTTCTGTCTTTTACCTCTCGATTTGAGATAGCAGTTCAGGGATCAGCCCCTCACACGGGACAAGCCCGTGGGGACCGCTTATCTATCTGCCCCTTGGCTGTCTGTCCTGGCAGCACCTCGAAGACTGAGTTCTTTGCCTCGGTCCCTTCTCCTGAACAGATTCCAGCGTCAGGGAGTTTAGCCAGAGACCCAGCAACTGATGTGGACCCTGCGCAGGCTGCACTCCATCACTCTCACACCTGTCACTCACATGGTCCAAGTCCAAACAGTGATCCCGAACCACAACCCTGTCGACCTCGAGTCTAAAGAATTCCACGTCCTCCCACTAAACCGGCTCCCTCCAAGGGTGCAGGTGTGCACCTCAGGCCACCTGGGGTGCCAGCCAGACGGCGCCGGAGAAGGCGGCCACGCCCCACATTGACACAGGCCACACGTGAAACCATAGCCAAGCCCTCTCTGCCCCTTGAGAAGGAGCTACTTTAGCGAAGTCAACTTTTAGGCAGCGGACGTGGGTGCCAGGCAGAGGCGTGGGCTACCTTTATGAGGTGGGGGTCTGCCCGCGGGATGGTGGCGTCCCTGGGCTTGGTCAGGATGTACTGGTTATTCTGGGAGTCGATGAGCATGCTCAGGCCCAGGTCCTCCTCGACCTCCCGGTTCGTGAGGTTCTGCTTGGAGCCGGCCTCGTCTTCTTCCACCCGCAGAACTGCCTCAAAGTTGACCCCTCTGACCTGTAACAATGACAAGTGTTGTGTCACTACAACCAATTAGACGTGTTTAAGTTCAAGGTCAAATGTTAGAGGGTAAGTCCCACAGAGAAGAACGACAGGAACATTCTCAGCATTCTGTCAAGTGTGACCGAAGACCAATAAATTAGAAAATTCGAAAAAGTTTTTCAATTGAAAAGTGATTTAAAGATGGAAGTGTTCAGGATTTCTATTACTTCCAAACACCTACTCTACCTGATTCAGGGCGTGGCGCTGTGATCTGTAACAAAAAACACATATTTGGTCTTAGACCCCTTTCCTGCCCACAGCCCCCAAACCCGTGGGACTTCCTGAGTGATAAAGAGCGATGCAAACATCTTGTCCTATATTTGGTCTTTTGGCCTCGGTTCCTGAATCGCTCCAGAGCAGCAGAGGTGAAAGGAGTGTGCTGTCCTTCATAATAAGCCCCTTGCGACCTCACCTGCCCTCGGGTGAGTGAGGGGTGGTGGAGAGCCCCCGGGTACCCACGGGAGGGGATGGTCACCAGACAAGCCGGCCACGTGATGAGGGCTGAACTTGCAGCTCCACCACGGCCTCTGGGAGGGCAGAGGGGCTGAAGGCCGAGTTTGTCAGGAGCCTAAATAACGAAGCCTCCATGAAGACCCTTCAGGCACGAGCTTCCGAGAGCTTCCAGGCTGCTGAACGTGTGGAGGTGTTTGGGGGAGGCCGCCGGGCCCGGAGCAGGCAGGGGAGCGGCCACCGTCCCCCACGTCCTGCCCCTGTACCTCTTCCATCTGAGCTGTGTCCTTCATGCCAATCTGCCAACCTAGCAAACAGACTGAGCTCTGTGGGCAGCACAGCAAACGCCGGAGGGAGGGGTGGTTGGCATCTGGAGCGGGGGCCGTCTTGGGCTGGGCCTGTCCCCACGGGGATGGTGCCAGGCTGAACTGAACCACGGGACGCGGTTGACGTCCCAGAGGACCGGGGGAAGGCCAGTGTGGAAGAGCCCGGAGCCGCGGAGGGCAGCGCGCCTGGTGAGCAGGTGACGCAAGGACACTCTTCCCAGGCGCACGGCCTCCCCCGCTCCAGGGTCACTGAGGGCCCCACTCCACTTCCCTCTCCCGCCTTGCTCTGGTTTGCCGTCATTACCTAACCCCTTCCTGAGTCCGTCCCAGGACTCACTGATGTGCTGCTTGGGACCCAAAGGTGGATTCCTGTAAGGAGCGAGCCTCTCCCTGGGCAGATGTGCACTGAAACGTGGCCATCCAGGGCCAGCTTCCTGAGACCAGAGCCAAGGCCGGGGAGACAGATGAGCTGCTGGGCGCGGGGCAGTCGGGGCGGGGGGGCGGGGCACTGACCAAACACGGGGCGGGGCGGGAAGCAGAGGAAACGGGGCACGTCTTCAGGGCCACACAAGTCACTTGCTACGGCACACGAGTGCCTTAGCCTCATGTTCACTTACAGCCTGCGCTACCGCACGCCCGCAAACAACCCCAAGTGCACGTCCTCTCAGTGGCGCGGCAGGTGGAGGGGACCTTGCTGTGGACGCTACTCACCGACCTGTTGTCATCGAAAGCGCGTTCCTCCGTCTCCTTCTCCAGACGGTCTGCCGCCCTCCTCACGTCCTCAAGAATTCCATCCAGGACGGATAAGCTTTGGTTTCGACGCTGCAGGTGCTTAAGGGCCTCAGCTTGATGTTTTTCTGCCGCCAGAAGTTCCACATATTCCGTCTCTTCCTGTTCATTTGTCAGAAATGAAGGGCGGGGTTTATTACGAAGGAAACCTGGATAAGCTGCCTGCCTGCGAACACGGCAGCGTAGGCCGGGTGCCCCAGGGCACTGCAAACCCTGCAGGAAGGCTACTTACACACACACGGATGTAACACATAAGCGTAAAGAGACGCTGAAGGTCCTATCTTCACACGAAAACCACCCGCCGACCCCGATGCTGCTCCAGCCACTGTGCCTACTGCGTGTGAAGCCCAGCTGTGGCACTTGATTATCTAGCTAGACATTTCTAAGCGGAACACACAGTCGAATTCCAAGTTACCAAGGGGAGATGTTCCAGGAGAATCTGACAGCATTACTTACTTGCACAGTTGACGGGTGGTGCTGGGAACAGAGTTTAACACGTGTGTGGCACACAACCGCACTCAAGCTCGAGGGATCTCAAATCAAACCCCTCTACTTGCTCACGTTTGAGGCGGAGTGGGCGCTGAGCGGAGGGCGGCCCCAGGCACAGGCTCGGCCGTTTCGCGGCCTCTACTCAGCACCCCCAGCGCCTGGACCGCCTCACACCCGTGAGGCCAGAACCAGCAGAGAGCAGGTGTGTGGGGTCAGCGCCACTCAAACTCGTGTTTGTTCTCTGTTCTACCGTTAAACTACCGCAAACCGACACCCCTGCGATTCCCTCTTTAACACCAAGGAGTTTAATATCCCACCCGTGCGAAGGACCTGGTGAGGCGGTGATCCCGCTGGGAGGGGGCGGTCTGTTTCCAACAACAGGCAGGACGCCCGAGTCCAGGGGGCTACTTACCCCATCACCATATTCTACCCAAACTACCACATTTGGGCAAAACAGAGTTTAATAATTTGTATCTTCTTTACTTTTTAAGCTGCAGAATATCGCCACAGCCTTTCCACGAGGACGAAATGACACTTCGCACATTTCAAGTGCCAGGCACACAACACATGGCTTAAATGACAGCTTTAAAATGTTACATAACTATCACATCTGACGTAATAACAGTTTCTTCTCATCATTTTAAAAGTATCCTTCAGGGGCTTCCCTGGTGGCGCAGTGGTTGAGAATCCACCTGCCAATGCGGGAGACACGGGTTTGAGCCCTGGTCCGGGAAGATCCCACATACCGCGGAGCAGCTAAGCCCGTGCGCCACAGCTACTGAGGCTGTGCTCCAGAGCCGGCAAGCCACAACTACTGAGCCCACGCGCCGCGTCTACTAAAGCCTGTGCACCTAGAGCCCGTGCTCCACAACAAGAGAAGCCACTGCAACGAGAAGCCCGCACACCACAACAAAGAGTAGCCCCAGCTCGCCGCAACTAGAGAAAGCCCGTGTGCAGCAACAAAGACCCAACGCAGCCAAAAAACAAAAATAAATAAATTTATTTAAAAAATAATAAAAATTAAAAAATAAAATAAAAGTATCCTTCATCAAAATCCTTAATTCAAGTGTATACATTTGTTTAAAACTACCTTTAATATTTTTGTTTTCAGCATGTGGGCCTTGAAGAAAGTCAGCCTTCACACTAAAAGTAATTCTTATCAGAAGCTCAAAACCCTGACGGCAACTACAATGGGCTTATTTCCACGGCAGTTCACTGGGGAAACATGAGTAACTCTTTTCAATACCCAGGGATCTCCACCATGGAGAAAGCACGAGAGACCCCTAGAAGTGCTCAAATGTGGCTCTGCTAAGTGACTGTGCAAAGGGACTGGCTCTCCTGCACCTGCTGGGCCAGATCAGAGGCCCTGGGCGGCTCCCACCTGCCGAGCCCCGTCGCTGGCGCAGCCCGCCCGGCCCTGGACCCACCTTGATGGCTGCCTTCCGCAGGGCCTCCAAGCGCTGCCTGCTGCTCTCCTTCACGTTGACCACGTCCCTGTAGTCGCCCTGCAGGGCTCTCTGGAGCCCATGGACGGCCTGGAAGACTGAGTTTTCACTTTCATTCAGCTCTTTCTGGAAAATTTCAAACATGTGCACCTGAAACAGCTTCTCTTCGTCCGAAAGGTTGGTGTCTTTTTCCACTGCTCTGACTGCACTCTTCAGTTTGTTAAGAACCACAGCCTTTTGGCGGAGAAGCCCGGAGAGCTTTCTGCAGCCGCCCAGGACCCACTGTCCCCCGTGGGTGACGGCCGCCCCTCGGCGCCGCTGCAACTCGACGGCGTGTCTCACCACTTCGTCGTGCTCCGCGCCGCTGGCCAGCAGGTGAAGGAACGGGAGCCACAGCCACAGGTGGCTTTTCCCCAGCACCTTCATGATCCGATTTTAGGGACAGGGCAAGGCAGTCCAAAGAGTCCTGCTAAGTCGGGCTTGCATTTGAGATACGCATTTTCAGCTGAAAAAGAGATTTATTGACACATATAGTTGAATGATGACTCATTGCTATTGAGATGAAAGTTTTAAGTAATTACTAAAAACTATTACTTTTCCAAGGAAAACGTTATTTTTCGTAGATCAACATCTGAACTATCTGCTGCACTTAGATTACAATCAAATACTGAATTTAAAGTATGGTGCCTGATGAGGAGCTGAGATTAAGGATTCCATCTGAATTTAAAGGCACTTTTTTAAAGTGAAACTCAGCCTCATATATCTACTAAATCTACCATGTGCAAAAGACAAAATCCAATTCCATTTAAGAGGGTCCACATATCAAAGGCCGGGAAACACCACCTGCTTCCCCCATCACAGACGAGGGGCCCTGGAACCAGGCCCGAGGGGCTGGGAAATGGAGCCGAACTGCCATGAGCTGGCTGGGCCGTACCGTGTGCTTTCCTGAGTCACCTGGAATTCCGTCAAATTTCCAACGTCAGTCTACCTTTATGTGCTAACAAGATGTCAAGGAGAGAAAAGAAATCACAAACTACAACCACACTCAGCCACTTTCTATCGCGCAGGTTCAGGCTCCGCCTCTTCTCCCTGAAGGAAGACTTCAAGCAGCGCCTGTGAGCTCATCCTGGCAGCGGGGCGCAGACAGGACCCCGGCCCCAGTAGCGGGGGGAGCTGCAGCTGTGTCGCCCAGAGGAGGGCTGATCGAGGCGCAGGTGGAGGCCGGGTCAGCAGGGTCACCAAGAAAGAACGACCTCGGAGGCAGGAAGATAGAGAACAAAGACGGAAGAGGTGACAAACGCAGGAGAGCTCAGTAAGACGCACCCTGAAATACACCCACTGAGCCTGGCAACTAGGCCCAAGTCCCTATGCCAAAAAGAAAACAAAACAAACAAAACGCACCGTTCCCAAGGAATCATGTTATTCTAGAATATACATATTTTCATTTCACTGGTAAATCCCAATTCTAATGAGTTTAATCTGGTTTCCCAGGTAAAGTAGATTAGCAAAAATAAGAGTGTGCACTTCTAGAGATAGAATCCTGACCAAACCAAGGAATGACAGCCAACAGAAAGTGGACACCGACAGAGCTTACTGAGACACACATGGGAACGCAGCAAAGAGCGGCAGCCGGCGGTCTGGGGGGCCAACTGCTCCATGCACCTCAGCAGACCCTGCAGAGGCGACCGCTGAGGGCAGGAGAGCCACCCGTGTTCAGAATGACAATCAGAAGTCACCCCATGAAAGCCTGCACACTGGCTCACTATTCTGGGTAAAAAGTCAGGAAACTGTCCACTTTCAATACTTGTTTAGATACTCTGGGTCCCAGCATCTCCCAGAGGATCCACGGATGCAGGACAGCGCGCTTCCTAATGAGGTGGGATAATCGAGTAGGGCTGTCTGAGTTACTGAGTTCACTGGCACAGTTTTAATACAACCTTAAGTAAATGTTACCACCTTAAGCAAACAAGCCACTGATCAATCACACAGACAGCCGGCAATATCGCTGATCTGTTATTTTATTGACTCAGTTGCTAGGCTCCTACTGTTTCAAGGGAAAGAAAGAATTCAAGCCTTACTTCAGACATGCACACATTTAGTATTCTTCAGAACCGAGACACAAATTTCAGGTGCTGGTTAACTGCACAGACCTGGACGTGCACATTTTCTCCCAAAGATCTCAGGTGCTGGTTAACTGCACAGACCTGGACGTGCACATTTTCTCCCAAAGATCTCAGAAAGCGATCCTTCTACAGATTTCAAACTTCAGGAAAATAACCTGCTGCACAGCTGGTCGGCCCTCAGACAAGTTCCTGAAGTTAGCTATATCCCTCTCCCCAGAACACCGAAGACAGCTACTCACGTTTATGAAAAACCTCTGAGAATTTCAGTTGTAGTCATACTAATGTTTCCACTGAAAAGAGCTTTTACCATGAACATGAAGTTATTTACAGACCTTAAGATATGAACCACTCCTTTTTCATAAACATCTCATTTTACCTTCAAACTCGGCTACCAAATTCTACAGACTACTAAACTGTAACATGTTTTTTTTCAGTAAATAGTGTTATTTTGTTATTGTTATTCTTAATTATAAAAAAAGACACTCTGGATTTGTTGTGCTTTTATAATGAATTCTGAAAATTTCCACATCTTGAATGACTGATGCAGTAACCCGGGCGACCTCAAGGCCGAGGAGAGCCTGCCTCGCTCACGCGTGATGCCATTTACACAACTTTTTTTCTTTCTTCTTCTTTTCTTTGGCCGCGAGGTTTGTGGGATCTCAGTTCCCCGACCGGGGACTGAACCTGCGCCCTGGCAGTGAGAGTCTGGAATCCTAACCACTAGGCCACCAGAAACTTCCTACACAACTTTCTTAGAATGACGAACTAAAGAGACGGGGAAGGGACAGTGGGGGTCAGGGCCCAGGGAAGGGGGAGGCAACGGCTGCGGACGTAACAAGGCAGCAGGAGGGACCCCGTGGGGTGAACACGTTCTGTGCCCTGACAGTGGTGGTGGCCACACACGTGTGCACGTGTGACAGAATCACATAGATCTACACACACACATGAGTGCGTGCATGTGCCCTGGTGCACCCGGATCGGGCAGTGGGCTGTATCTCTCCCAGCTCCTGCTTATGATACAGTTTTGCAAGAGCTCCCACTGGGGACACTGGGTGAAGGGTCTATAGGATTTCTCTGTATTTTCTGAATTTATCTAATTTTTTAAAAATTATTGGAGTATAATTGCTTTACAATGTTGTGTTACTTTCTGCTGCACAATGAAGTGAATCAGCTATATGTATACCTATATCCCCCCTACCTTGGACCTCCCTCCCACCCCCGCCATCCCACCCTTCTAGATCAACACAGAGCACCGCGCTGAGCTTCCTGTGCTTTATAGCAGGTTCCCACTACCTATCTATTTCATACATGGTAGTGTATTTATGTCAAACCTAATCTCCCAATTCATCCCACTGTCCCCTTCCCCTGCTGTGTCCACATGTCCGTTCTCTATGTCTACATCTCTATTCCTGCCCTGCAAATAGGTTCATCTGTACCATTTTACTAGATTCCACATATATGCATTAATATATGATATTTGTTTTTCTCTTTCTGGCTTACTTCACTCTGTATGACAGACTCTAGGTCCATCCACATCTCTAAAAATGACCCAATTTCGTTCCTTTTTGTGGCTGAGTAACATTCCATTGTATACATGTGCCACATCTTCTTGATCCATTCATCTATCATTTGACATTTAGGTTGTTCCCATGTCCTGGCTATTGTAAATAGTGCTGCAATGAATACTGTGGTGCATGACTTTTTTTTTTTTTTTTTTTGCGGTCCGCAGGCCTCTCACTGTTGTGGCCTCTCCCGTTGCGTAGCACAGGCTTCAGACGCGCAGGCTCAGCGGCCATGGCTCACGGGCCCAGCCGCTCCGCGGCATGTGGCATCCTCCCGGACCAGGGCATGAACCCGTGTCCCCTGCATCAGCAGGCGGACTCTCAACCACCGTGCCACCAGGGAAGCCCTACATGACTCTTTTTGAATTATGGTTTTCTCTGGGTATATGCCCAGTAGTGGAATTGCTGGGTCATACAGTAGTTCTATTTTTAGTTTTTTAAGGAACCTCCATACTGTTCCCCATAGTGGCTGTATCAATTTACATTCCCACCAACAGTGCAAGAGGGTTCCCTTTTCTCCACACCCTCTCCAGCATTTATTGTTTGTAGATTTTTTTGATGATGGCCATTCTGACCAGTGTGAGATGACACCTCATTGTAGTTTTGATTTGCATTTCTCTAATCATTAGTGATGTTGAGCATCTTTTCATGTGCCTCTTGGCCATGTGTATGTCTTCTTTGGTGAAATGTCTATTTAGGTCTTCTGCCCATTTTTTAATTGGGTTGTTTTTTTGATATTGAGCTCCATGAGCTCTTTGTATATTTTGGAGATTAATCCTTTGTTCGTTGCTTCATTTGCAAATATTTTCTCCCATTCTGAGGGTTGTCTTTCCATCTTGTTTATGGTTTGCTGTGCAAAAGCTTTTAAGTTTAATTAGGTCCCATTTGTTTATTCTCGCTTTTATTTTCATTACTCTAGAAGGTGGGTCAAAAAAGACCTTGCTGTGGTTTATGTCAGAGTGTTTTTCCTATGTCTTCCTCTAAGAGTTTTACAGTGTCTGGTCTTAACATTTAGGTCTTTAATCCATTTTGAGTTTATTTTTCTGTATGGTGTTAGGTAGTGTTCTAATTTCATTCTTTCACAGGTAGCTGTCCAGTTTTCCCAGCACCACTTATTGGAGAGGCTGTCTTTCTCCATTGTATGTTTTTGCCTCCTTTGTCACAGATTAGATGACTATATGTGCGTGGGTTTATCTCTGGGCTTTCTATCCTGTACCATTGATCTATATTTCTGTTTTTGTGCCAATACCACACTGTCTTGATTACTGTAGCTTTGTAGTATAGCCTGAAGTCAGCAAGCCTGATTCCTCCAGCTCCATTTATTTCTCAAGATTGATTTGGCTATTTGGGGTCTTTTGTATTTCCACACGAATTGTAAAATTTTTTGTTGTAATTCTATAAAGAATGCCATTGGGGCTTCCCTGGTGGCGCAGTGGTTGAGAGTCCGCCTGCCGATGCAGGGGACACGGGTTCGTGCCCCGGTCCGGGAAGATCCCACATGCCGCGGAGCGGCTGGGCCCGTGAGCCATGGCCGCTGAGCCTGCGCGTCCGGAGCCTGTGCTCCGCAACGGGAGAGGCCACAACAGTGAGAGGCCCACGTACCACAAAAAAAAAAAAAAAAAAAAAAAAAAAAAAGAATGCCATTGGTAATCTGACAGGGATTGCATTGAATCTGTAGATTGCTCTGGGTAGCATAGTCATTTTCACAATAATGACTGTATATTTCTCCAACTGTTTATGT